AATGAATGTGAAATATTTTCTGACCTTTTCCTTCTCAGAGGGTTCTGACAGTAATATAGACCCCCACAAAGTTTACAAGGGTTCTTTACAAACATGCACAAAAACTATCATATATATGTCTTTGGTTGATGAGTGCCAAGAGAGCAAAGAAGGGAAGAGATTGTCAAAGCGTTAAAACACGCCAACGCCAGGGAACGGCTGGCATCATCCGGGCGTTAAAACACGCCCGCGCCAGTCAAAGAGTTACAATGTTAAGGCAATGATGCCCTGTTGACATGATAATGAAACAGTGATATGTTTCCAGGCTAGGGAGAAGCAGTGTGGAAAGAGACATTTGCAGCATGAAACAGGAATAGAGAATGAAATCATTGTGTTTCAGTGTATTCATACAGAAACAGTGTTGCAGTGTGGCAAACTGGCAAATGTGGCAAGTCCACATATCCACATTAGCATATATATCACTGAAATGCTTTGTACATTCACTGCAGTAAGTGTTCAGACTGATGTGACTCTTGGCCACATGTGATTATGGTCCTGAATGCTAGATCACGTACTTTACAATATTCCTGGGAGAATGGTTCATCATGCGCACACACATTAATATTGTTTTGAAGTACAGTAGTGTTTCATGACCAGCTGCCAGATACAGTTATCAAGTGAAAACTTTTTCTCTAAAATTTTCAGTATTTTTTTAAATGACGAAGGTCTGCAATGGCCCAGAACTTTTGGGACATATTTTATGTAGCTAACCTGTGCAGGAGTCAGTATCAGATAAGATTCAAGGAGCCCTGGGTTGTGATAAATGTGATGCAGCTATAATTTTTATGTAAGATCTGTACAGAGAATAATTAATAAATACTAAAAAATTGTTACTGAGCTAGACTCTTCCTGAAAGGATAATTTAACCAAAATAAGATCTGTCAAAGAAACTATTTGGCTTATGTCAGCAATTTGTAACAGCTGACATAAAAATCAGATCAGATGTGTGAACTGGTGAATATGAACATAAGATTTTCAGTATTCATTATATTTCTGTAAGATATGTTGTTATTTTTGCAATATTATTCTGCCCATCACTGAACTTGTGAAGATAAATATATCAGATTTTCATATATCATTAAATGCAATCTTAATCTTTTTTTTTTTTTTTTAATTGAATTGAATTGTTTTACTTTTTTTAATTCCTAAGCCGTTTAGTACCTTTGG